TTTACTGCAGCTTGAAAGGTGAGCATGTGACTTATTTACTCAACAAAGTAATTTCTCAAAGTTACTTTAATTCTCATGCTTATTGAGAATAGTCATTTTTTGGTCAAGTATAAAGATTCCATGAATTCCTGACTTGAAGTATTATGACAACAATGTTGAAGTGGCATTCATTGCCCATCATCCGTCTTCAACATCACTTATTGTTAGCCTTGTTGCTTGAGACTGCTGACAGAAAATTGTCAATTTAAAGTTTTAAAAATTGCAGTCAAAAGAAAAATGTACATGTAGTATCTCCATTTTCAAATATATGTGGAACCATAGTCAAGTTGAAACAAAAACGTTTGCTAAAATTAAAATACTTTTCACTTCAAGTTTCTTCTTTCTTTTTCTTTCTGACAGGTATTGATGAACTCTGAAGCAATATACACGAGGGAAGTAATGATCAAATCCTTGACTCATTTGTAATTTTGCCTCTACAACTAGATCCCAGCAGCAACAGATGAATCGGTGGCATCCTGTTCCCCCACCCCAAAAAACCTCAGTGAATATCCCTCCGACTACCATCATTTTGTTGATTATGGACTCAGTTGGCCTTGGATTTTGTATAAAATTCTTCCCTACTTTCCTGAAATTTATAATTAAATCATACTCTTCATCAGTCTTGGTTTGCACTGGCAATGTGTACCAAATCATGGATCATAGTGCACCCCAAAATATTTGCCAGTGTATGAGGCAGGCAATTATACATTTTTTTAAAATTGAAGCTGCCAAGTTCTTAACAACTTCATAAAAAGGCCACAGAAAAAGATTTGAATGTTCGTTTCAAGCTACATTCTTTATCAGAATCCAGGCCAATCAGGCAGTTGCATTTGTTGTGCAAATGTACAAGATTTTCTTTTGTTTGTTTTCCGAAGGTCCACCCAAGGAAACCCTCTTGAACTTGCTGACCAAGAAATAAAAGAGTCACTTCCTCAAGTAAGCAACTTTTAAGTGCAGTCTCTTCATTTTACATGGCTTGCTACCTAGGAGAGACTGATGCTACTTTGTTTTATAAATAAGTGTGAAATGATTGCAGAGGAGCTGTGTCACACCAGAACTTGGTCACAGCTGTCAGTGTTTTTTTCCGTCCAGTATATTATCAAATATCAGTTTGTAAAGCAAAATAAAACACCTATAATTGCTTTTGGCTGAATTTGAAAATCTTAAAGTATTCCTAGTTGTCTGTGAGGAAATTCTTCCTGGAAGGTGACCCCATTTTTGTGGTGTATTGAATAGGAAGCTGAACCGCTTTGAGAAGAAACATTCTGGGTCTGTGCATAAGGATAGCCACGAGGTGATGGTGCAGCTCATCAGAGGACAAAGACCAGAGAAACACCATAGGGATGACAGCAGCAGCAACAGATTTTAGAAGTCCAATGTTATCGAAATCTTAACAAATATGCCTTGGTTTGGGTGAAATTTGAAACTGGGGAAGTTATTTCATCAAAATTGTTGAGAAGTGTCAGGAAACCTGAAATTCATCTCAACATACATTTCTGAGCTCTTTTACAAAAAGTCAATTTTTGACGAAATTTTAATTAAAATTCAAGTTTAAGGAGGTCTCACATAACAAAACTAAGGATACAATTCTGTGATTTTGTAATTACCTATAAGATTTTGCCATATACTATATTCGCTTCAATTTTTGCCTATTATCCCTCTGTTTGCAAAATGTGTGCATTTGACTCCTGCTTAATATTATACACTCATTGGAGGTCACACATAACAACTCCAAATTATTTTCATTTTGCACATGTAGTCCGTGAATTGCAAGAGACTTTTAAAAGGTCACATTATTGAAATTATGTTTCCGACTTTGCTGTCCAAAATTTCTGTAGTTGTAGATCCCAGCCCTAATTACTGATTTGAATTGTTTTTATACATGAATTGTTTGTGATATGTATCTGTCTTTAGCCTACATGGGCTACATATCAGTGCCTGAGCAATTTTTACAGGGTTGCTGACCTCCAGACAATAAATTGGCAGAAACAAATTGCTGACATTCAGTGCAGTTTCCTTGGCAGTGTCGCAACGCCCCCTTCATCTTAGATAACACTTTTGAGCCTTTTTTTAGAAAAAGACCAGTTTTGAC